AACGAAACGAATTAAAAAATAATCAAAATTGAGGCCTGCCTACCTTTTTTTCCTCGATGAAAAACCAAAAAAGTCTTGTTTAAATATTTATTTGACATTTATTAGCAAAAAATGAACTTTTTTAAAATTAATTTTGATAAATTTTTCAGTTTTCTAATTTTAAAATTAATCGGAAATACTTTAGAATCATCACTTGGATACTGATGTTATTTTTAATGTGCCACTGAAGAAATTTAATTTTACTTTCAACGTGATGGTAGCAGAATTTAAGGTTGCAAATTTGATACAGACATTTGCGCAACTCATTTAATTATTAATTATTTGTAATAATTGCTAAATAATAATTGTTTGAGATTTGTTGATTTTATAAATATTCAAATTAATAAATTAAAAAATATGCTCATTGTAATTGAAACCTGTAACGAGTTAGAAATAAAAATGATTTGATAGAATAAGTAAAATGCTGCAAATTGTTGATAGATAATGTTTTATCAAATTATTAAATATTGTAACTAAAATTATCGTATGTAAATATTTGAATGGATTTTTAATAAAATGCAAATTTTCTGAATAAGTATTTGATTAGCAATTTTTCAGGCTTATTTAGTTCAATCATGTAAGAAAAACGAAAAAATTACTCATCAGCCTCATTTATTCATACTAATAGATACAGTAGGTGCTAATGGAGATGTAAACTATCATGTTATAATGGATAAACAACAACTAAATGCTAGAAAGTAATTTCAGACTTGCTCTAAACTTTTCCACTGATAAATTATAGATTTTAATTATAAAAGCGAAGAAAAAATTAATATGTAATTAAAATGTATTAATAATTTTTAAAAATTTTGATTAATAAGTGCTTGAAATTGAATATATATATAATAAATAACTTGTATTGGATGGTTATGATTACAGAGCATTTGTTGTAATTGGTGCTGAAACTTTATTTCCACGACTTGAAATTTTGTTCACACAACCAAGCGTACAACTCGTAAGTCATTTGGTAGAAAGTTTGAAGTACTGTGACGAAGTTATCACAAACACGTTATCACCAACGTGGAAATTGAATGAGGTTCAAATGCAGCAAAGCTTTGTGGACTGTAAAACAACAAAATCAGGCAGTGATAAGGGTAATCTTATGCAAGAAATGTGGACTGCTACAATGTTCGATCTGACCCGAGAATATAAAATGAATTCGTTAGCAATTTAAACTACTGCTTTTTCATCTATTGCTACTTATTTATCAGAGTCAAAAAATAATTTGTTTTTTATTTCGTTAAATTTTTTTTGAAACACAGCCAAACATGTATTAAGAAATTGGAAACTGATGTTGCATTCACATATTTATTTACTTATCTTTATTAATTAATTTAATTAATTAATTATTCATTTTTTAATGTTAATGATAATGCTGAAAC